GCCCAACAAGCCATTGGAAAAGCCGACCACTGAAGTGATGGCTGAAGAGAAGGCTTCCTTTGATGACCCGGTGCAGAAGAAAACTCCACAGGTGTCACCTAACAAGCCATTGCAGCAGGTTTCAAGGGAAGGGTATGCTGGTGGAAAGTTTTCTGATGAACCACAGGTCAGACAACCCCGTCGGGGGTATCAGAATCGTTCCTTCCGGGGGCAGAGGAACAACTCTCGGGTGAGGGACAAACCACAGACGGAAGCCACCGGCGGTCGAAACACAGAACGGCCGAACCGACGACGTCGAGGTGTTCAGAAGCGCACCTCTCGTGGTCCGAAGAACACCCCTCAGACGTAGACGGACGTCAGCCCATCCGGATGATGGACTTCTGCACGCCAAAGCCAACGGTGGATCACTGACAAGGCTGCTCGGCGCCTAGAGTAATGTATATAGAAGCTGATAGAAGCTTTAGTAGATTACCCAGCTCATAGATGTAGATGTTCTTCAACTATACATACTGCAGGTGCCTGCATCAGATGCAGAATTGTATCACTTGTTGAGGTCTGAAGACTTGACGTAACAATTGCTTGCTATAAACTATAAATAGAGGTGATTTTGTAGTTGTTGATTGAATGATTCAGCCAGGCAAGTCTTCAGTTTCTCTTTGACCTTTGAAATTTGAATGTAAGTAGGTCAGCGGGTTGGGAGCCTTGAAGACAAGGCAGCTTCTGCAGCTCCGAGCACCCCGCACAGTTCTCCATGTGTCCACTGATGGAACGGACAAGGTTTTTTGAGACTTAGACTGCCAGATGAGCAGATGGATTGCAGATGCACAGGATGTTGGCCTATTCATGTATATTCTGAACTATTTACTATATATATATATAGATACATGTTATAATGAATATATGATATACTTTTGCATCATTGTCACACAGCAGCCGACGGCAACATGCGGACGTGTTTACTATTCCTCTCTGGAATATTGTCAACTCATGGACGCCACATAAAACGCCTTTTGTCCAGAAGTCGGCGGCCCTTTTGTCTCAAAAGCCATACTACTAGGAGCAAAGGGCATCGCTACTAGGAGCAAGGAGCTACTAGGGGCTCCTGGCCTTACTACTATAGGAACAATGTTTGCTATTAGACACGAGAATGAGTATTGAGTTGAAAGTAATTGGAATTAAGTTTAATTGGAATTAATTAGAATGTGAGGTTCGTAGTTTGTTTCACACGCAACAGAGCCCCTGTGTCGCATGAGTGCACCTCGGTGTGACGATGCCAAGCTTGGTTGCTGGGAGCCTGCAAATTGCAAATACACCGGGTGATCAAACACGCCAGCTAATTGAAACTGCCGGTGACAGACAATTCTGCGCACAACGGGAGAAAGCCACATGATGCATTTGCATCCGGAACTCAGAGGGCAGAGAGCGGAGAGCTGGTCAGCAGGAAAAATTGAAGGCTGACTGCGCTGCTCGGTACTGTACGATGGGTATTGTCCGATGGCCTTCGGCATCGGCCATGTGACCAGACACTCCCGATCGGAGCACTTGTCACCACCGGCCTCGGATACACCCGCCGCCATCGGCTCAGACCTCGGCGCGATGGCCATGGCCGTGGCGGCGCCGAGCAGCGTGCTCGCGCTGTCGAGGCATTGGTCGTTGATTGTGTCGGTTCTTGGCTTCACACACTTGTTTGCCAGTCGGCCGTGTGCTCCGGAATAAAGCACTTTAATTCAATCATTGGGAGTCCTTGTGGGGTTGCGTGTAAAGTCTTCCCGTCGTTTTAGTTAGTTGGAAGAACGCTGAGATCTGGTCAAGGATATTCTAGTTGTTTGTAATGATTCAACTGCGTGTGGTGCGGGAGGCATGTTTTCTCTTGAGTACCATTCAGATCCATTCAGGAACCTCATCCACATTTCAACCCTTCGGACACAACGTCCGGTGCGTCGCTCCAGGCGCAGCACCCATGGACGGTTTGTAACGCCGTTACGACCGCCGCCACGCGTGACCAACACAGCAAGACCCGGAATGTCCGGCTTTTCCTTTGTGAAGTTTGCGCTTCTTGGCGGAAATGCCACGGGGGGTGGCGAACCGACCTTTTTCAATCTTGTTCATGAGCCTGACACGAATGCCTTCACATGTCCGGGACCCAATAGCCACAGAAAAATGAGACGAGATTTGGGAAAGTGGACAGGAACCGGTTGTTCGAGGTTGGGTTTGAAAAGTCTGGTTTTTTGAGGTTCTTTTTGGGCCTCAGGGTCAAAGACCAGACACAAGAGTAAGGAACTTCAACTTGTATACTTCACCATTTTGAGGGGTCAGCTGAAGCTGTTTGGAGAAGCTGTTCATTTCTTGATTTTTTAGCAGGATCCTTGCATGAAATTTGGGGTCATATCATATCATATACAACTATAGTTTGGGGAATGCAAGGCGGTCTTACTTTCACTTGCGATCATTCAGCAAAGCTGCCTGACCGTGACCGGAGAGTTCGATCACGGAACAGGTACTGCCCAGGTACCGCAGTTCCTCAGATACCAGGGACAACTTGAACTATTTCCTTTTGGTTTGCAAGCGCACCGTCCCATACAATTGCATGGGGCAATTTAATGTCCATCGTTTTGAGGTGATGCTAGTCTGCTGTTTGATTCTGTACGTGCCTTGACATCCTTGACACTATTACGGAGAAATTGGGTTGGAGGGTCATTGCAACAGCCTGCTGCTACAGCAGACTCTTTCTCGATGGATCATCCTTCTCAGATTTCTCAGGATCGTGGGTGGCCTGGCGCATTGGCTGGCGAACTTCTTCAACTGGACCGCCATTCTTAGCACAAGTAATTTTTGGAAAACATCTCACGTGGACGTGTGACGCATGTTTGAAACCTTAAGACTCACAAGAACAGGGCATGCGGCATGCCGTGCACGTGCCGCGCCGTTTCAACTTTGTTGCGAGGGCCAGGAAGCCAAAGACTGCACCAGGGCCAACGGAAGCTTTGGTCAGAAGGCAGCAACGAGCTCAGGAGGAGGCTGGTGATGGGCATCTCTCGGGTGAGATACTCAAAATGGACATATCGAACCCGGGCAAATAGGGCTACCATTTTGAGTGTATATCATTACTGTAAGCCTTGCCATTCTTTACACATCAAGCTGGAAGTTTGCCTCTTACTCCATTGGTGCTTTGATATGTGCAGCGACTAGTTGAGACATTGGCTGTTCAGCACAAGCCGCATGCCCGCGGTGCTATCTCGAGACCTAGTGCTCCAATTTGTCAAGCCTTTGCATTGTATAGTTTCAGGCATGTCAAGCTCAAATTTTGTTTCAGAGTGCATGTGGCGGCAAAACTGAACACAGGAGCCATTGAAGTCAGGCCGAATTCACTGCTCACTGTTGCTGCAAACCCCCTGGGTTCGAACACCCCTTTCCTGGTGAGGCCGAGGAAGCCAAGAAGCAGTTTCGGCGAGCATCCCAATTCTTCGTGAACACCAGAGAGCCTTCAGCAACACAGTCGGACCGAGTTGTCTTTTTCAGTATATATAGTTCGGGTAAAAAATACCAGGCAAATCGAGGCAACAACATGGGACCAACATCATGTTGCAGGCCTATAGGATCTATGATTGCAAACTAGGGATTGTAGTATTAAAGTATATTGCTTGGACTCTTGGTGCATTCAAGTATGGCTCGTCCCTGGCATCCGTGGGTAGTCGTTCGTTTCGACATTCGTTGTGCAAGCCAAAATGAAAGCCAGGAATCCACCGGTGTGGTGCTCAACCGTTCAGCACCAGAGATTGTGTCCTGTGCGCGACGGCGGCTGGAGGCGACTTCATGCCATGTGCAACATCAGGATGCGTGCTTCACATGCCATGAAACTGTGTGTTAACATGGGACAGGGATCGTGTGAATTGCAGCAAACTTGAATTGTGCTTTAACAGTAGCACGGCAAAGATTCCAGAGCGACGTGTTCAACTGGTAGCCCTCAAGACTTTGATTCATTTTTGATATTTTTGCCCGCACCTTCCAAACCTAGAAAACGTATGTCTCGAAGGCAACTTATGTTTTGCAACCAAAGCCGCATTTCTCAAACATAGTCGGAGACAATCATGTTTTCAGCTAAATGTTGTGGATTTCACACGATAAATACGGGTTCTGAGCATGAGACCTAGCTTTTCTGTGCATATATACATTGGTTTTCGGCGTCTTGTATGCAAAACGCAGATATCGGAAAAGGCCGTCCTAAAACTTAGGGTTGCTGGTTGATCCTGTTGTGGCACAAAGTAGCACTAGTCATATAATCACTAATCATAGTTTTCAAGCAATGTTCTACAACATCCTACAAACCTGCTCCAACAAACGTATCAATTTGAGGCCTTCCCTGTGGACTCTTTGCTTTTGGGTTGTGTTCAACTGCGATCCGAGTCTCCCCGCCATCCCTTCGCAACGCAGGGGGCGCTGGCTTCCCTACGCGAAGCAAACGCCGAACTACGAGAGGCGCAGGCGGATCTCCGCGCCTATCCAGCTGCTCGGCCCAGAAGACGCGATTCGTTCGTGGCCGACCGATGGTGACGACGTTGCCAAAAAAACCAAGGATACCCAAGGGGAAAATCCGGTTCATCCAGCTTGGTGAAGTTTGCTGCTTTACATTGTCTTGGAAGAAAGATGAAGAAAGTAAGACTCCGTGAAGCGAGGTGCTGGGGGTGCAATGTGTTTTCTTTTTGTTTTCACTTGCGTGAGCCAGGTGCAACCAGTAGCTTGCTCGATGTGGGTGAGTCTTTGGCTGAGGTGCCTGATTATCTTGCTCCAGCGCAGGAGCAGGGTGCCATCATGATTGGTGTCACAGGCTACCCAGGCCGATCACGTAAAGCTGTTTTGCTCCCTTTCCTTCCCTGATGTTTTGAGGCTACTGCACCAGTCCAGAGACAAAACACAAACATGTTGCAACTGATTCGACCATATTCAAACATATTCTAACAGAGTACTTCTGGATACTTCTGGTACTATTTGCAGGTTCCAATTTCTGAAACATGAGCTACATGGCAATACGCTTGATTCATGCTGTTGGTTGGGGGGTCCATCTTTGGTCAGGCGTTGGAAAGTCTTCGTGGGTCAATGCAGTACGTCGCGTCTCCTCACCGAACGACCCCGACTTCGCCGAGCTGTGTGTGGATGGGCCCACGATGGAGCCGCACAGTTACAGGTTTCCTGCGCAGAACCTTAACAGCATTTCACAGCTTAGCCAAAGAGTAACTGGAGGCTTCTTGCTAAAGGTTATTTTTGCTCGCCTGCAACGTCCTTGAATTGCAGCTAAAGCACGCGGAAACCAAGCTGAAGAAAACAATTAAGATATTAAGATACAATAGATAGTCGTTCACAACGACGCTGTTCTTCTCGGGTTCCCTTTGGAAAGACAATGGTCGCCGAGCTTCATTGCAGAAAATCCGCAGCACGAGCTGGCTCAGCCTGCCATGTCTGAAGTGTCAGAGATCTTCTCCGAAGCAGAGCTCCATGCTGTGTGCAGGAGCCATAAAGGTTTGACGACTCTGCTGCTGCAGCTTGGACCAGTTTGCCACAGGAGGGAAGCGAGGGGCAGAACCTCACATGCTTGAGACTCAATAGGAGAACTAGGAGAACTTATGTTTTTTTGAATATTTTTGCGAGATGTTTGCACATTCAATTGTAATATGACAATTGACTTGTGAAAGGGGGAGCAGGGGAAGACAAACACAGAATGAATGAGAGAGAGAGAGAGAGAATCGAGATCATGATTTAGAAACATGAAAGGTCTTTTTTGGAAAAACAATTTCATATTCGGAACACTAAGACGACTTTCTCAAGTTCCTCGGTTCCGTTGGCTGCTTGATCACATTTTCGCTGACGCTCTTTGAGGTGGGCGCCATGGCATCCAGCAAGCGTTCACCTCACCAAGGTGTTGGACGCTGTTGCCAAAGAGCATCCATCCACGCGCTTTGCGAAGGTGCGCCAAAGGGGGTTCTTTTGGGGCCAAAACTGAAAAGAACTGCAAGAAAGAGGCTGGATGACCTGAGTGGTATTGTTTGGGCAACAGATATGCTGAGGGATTGGATATTAATTGCCTTGAAATCACAAGCAGACTGAGAGCATCTCAGCTTGCGTCCAGGCCAATGTGGATCTATGTGCATCTTTGGCTAGCTCCATGGGAGCGGACCAGGTGCCTTTCGTGGTGTTCTTGAATCCGCAGGGGGTTCCGATTCCTGGACTACAAACCTATAAAACATTTACATTCATATACTTTTACCTCTTTACCTATACCTGGTCCGTTTGGTGCCTGGGGTTGTGCCCGGGTTCTTCTTTCTATTCTGAGGCGAACGGTGGAAGTGATGTGCTGTCACCCTCGCACCGTAGCACACCCGAGGATTGATACTTTAGCTGGAGCAGATCCACCCAGACTGGTGGAGAAGGTCAAAACACTTTCATCGACATCAATGGAAGTTGCTTGGTTGCACTGATTATGCTCAGCTTCCTGCGAACATCATCAGCGCAGCCCGGCAATGCCAGATCCTAGTGTCTCTCCTGCAGTTTTATCTTTGTTTTGCAGCTTGGACATCCGAAAAAAAGTACTACAGGAATCAAGAAGCTAATGAACTCAAACTGTTCTGAGACGTTGTGATACATTGAAGGATGTAGTAGAGCAGATGCTGGGTCTTGCAGGTTGCAGTTTCCAATGGGGGTGCAGCCGATCTGAACAGCAGAGGCTTTGCCGCATCATCATTCAATGCACTGCAACCTTTAACCGGACAATTCATGCTCTAGAGCTCTAGAGACCCCCTGAATATTGCAATCCAGTTGATCTAAAGTTGCGTGCAAGGGGTTTATATATATATATACACAGTATATATATATACAGCGACCTTTTAGATGCTGTCCAAACCGTCCGCGATGAGGTTCGCAAAAGTATCTCTTGTTTTAACACAATAGTATTCAATGGTGTTCATGTTCATGTAGAAATGGAAGCCAGTTCTTTGGCAGGGCCGGTGGGCGGAAGTGCCCCCACATGTTTGCACCAAAAACGAACTGAAGCCTCAACGTTTCCTTGCCCAGCTCTCACAGTGCATAAAGGATCTTTTGGTTCCCGTCCCCCCTGTCACAAACTAACAAGCTGACAACTCAACTTGCCCTTGCGCACCCCTTGCAGCGCGTAACAGGATTGTCCTTTCCAAACTGCAACTGCGCCACCCTTGGGCAACCCTCACAGTGAGACAACTGCAGATGTGTTTGAGCATGATGTGCATGTTCGGGAAAATCGCTACCTGCTACTTCCGCTGGCTGAAAAGAGAGCTCTTTAGGGACATGGGGCTTTAAAGATAGTCCGGTGCGACGACAATACCCGGCCGTTCGGAAAGCACTGCTCCTTCGGCCCCAAAACAGTACATATCGACTTGCCACGGCACACACCCTTTCAACGCTGTCTCTATGGCATAGGTGAAGTGAGACTATAAATGAGGTGAAAGATCCGCAAACAGTTCCGCAAATGTGCCGTTAAAGTCACAGTTCCAAACTTGAGCGCTCCCCAGCATTCCCAAGCTGCATTGCCCTGTTTTGGTAGCTGGCACGGGGGTTGAGTTGAATTGCGTCCTACTCTATTCCAAGCCTCCTCCAGGACATTCCTCAAGGTTTGTCGCGCACATGCTGCATGTCGACCCTAGAATGGCTGTAGCTCTCAACCTAGTGTGGTCATGCTGGATAATGTGAGTCGGTATTTGTATTAAAATCATAGTTAGACATAGTTTCGGCACATGTTAATTAGAAATGAATTCAGGACCATGCTTTGCGATGAGGCCGCAAAATACTTTCATGCGAGCAATGGTCCATCATGAAAAAAGTTTTGATCAACCACTATATATATATATATACATAGCGATCTGTCATGATTTAGGCAAACTGGAACTTGCTCCATGCCTCAGGACTGAAGGCATTGGTGAACTTCTCCCCAGTCATGTTGTTCATGAAGGGGTCTCTTGGCAGAAAGTCTTGAAAAAGAGACGTCCATGTCAGTTATTGATTTTTGTTGCTGGCACTTGTTGGTCAATGGGTGCTATGGAGCTATGGGTTGTCGCAGACTAGTGACTTTCAGTTCGTGTCATTGTGCCATTCGCGGCATATCTATTGACAACCATATTATGACCATATTCATATTTAAGAATCTTTCAGAGTTGGCCCCAGACAATGGAACCCATGTTCAGAAGGCCTTGAAGGCTCCGCAACACAGAACCCTTTTACGAGAGTTCAGGTCCGGGGAGATGTTACTTAAGAGTTGCCTCAGGACTTCGTACCTTGTGGGTCCCAAGCAGTTCTTCCAGCCGACCTGAGCCGAGGAACAAAGCAGACCCACAGTGCAAGTTCTCCAGGCAGGCCATCGAGATGATGCAAAAACACAATGCTGAATACTCGACCTTCGATGCTTGTCCTGGTCATGGGCGGTTTTGGAAAGATGTGCCAGGCGGCAAGGTGGTGTTCTTTCATTTTTTGCATGTTGCGCGCATCAAGTGACTCAGACCGACTGGGACCTCAGGATATTCTGCAGGATGAAGAAGTGAGACAAGGCTTGAAGGAGCATCTTGCCTAAAACGACGCCAAGTACCTCCAAATACTTCTCCCCGTCATCGGCCACGCAGAAGCGTTTTCGTTCGCGGTCGCCTTTGTTGGGATGTGTGGGGTGGGATGGATCGATCCGCCAGGTATTCCAATTGGAAAACCTACCCGCAGCTCTATGTTAACGGTGAGCTGATTGGTGGTGTGGACTTGATGAAAGAGATGGAGGATGCCCGACCAAGACGAAATGCTTCGATCGCTTTCAGTACTTCCCATTTCCGGCACTTGTGCACCTGCCGATGCTGCCGAAACTGAGCGTATTAGCGACAAGGATTTGTATTAGTAAAAGTATTGCGAGTAGTGAAGCTCTTAGCCGCAGCCCCAATGTGGAAGACGCGAAGTGGCGCTTGCTTGTGCCCTTTGCAATGCTTGGCATCAGGAGGATGGCTCCTTGGGCGAAATGCTTGGATCTGCTCAGCCCTTGCAGGAGAAGGTTTAGAAAACCAAAGCAACAACACACTAGAGCTGGCTGGTTTTAGACGGTTTTAGCATGTTTTAGCACTGCACTTGAATCAACCCAAACATAGTGTACCCCACTGGAACTGGAAGTGGAACTGGAACTCCGAACTCCCCCCGGATAAAAAAATCATCCACGCTAAACTGACGTTGGCAATCACGTCCAGACC